GCCATCTTGACTAGAAAACCCAATAATTCATTATTTTTTGCTTTATGCAGAGATGAAAAATTAGAGAAAACATGTATTTTGTACTTAAGCACACATTTTTTATTTTTGATGGTCATCATTATTTTGTGTAGATCTAGATTTCCATCTGGTGACACTTTCCTTCTGTCTGGAAGATTTCCTTTAAACATTTCTTATAGTGTGGATCTTCTGGCAATTCTCTGATCTTATATTGAATCTTTTATATTAAAAGCTTCTTTCTAAATATATGAATATTTTTAAAGTTTCATATATAATTGTGGCCTTCCTTTTGAAAGATGTCTTTTGACTTGCATTGTTTCCATTTAGAAGTTTGCTATCATTCTTATTTTAATACCTATATCTCTCTTCCTAATTCATATATAGTATAAATTTTCTTTTTTAAAAAAGATTTTTTATCATGGATTCTCTATCATGGATTTTCTATCATGACTAGGATGTTTATTTTCATTCTATTTTTTGTGTGTTTGTGTTGTGTTGAGCATCTTTGTATCTGTGGACTTACTGTTTTTATCAAATTTGGAAAAAATTTGCCATTAAATTTTTAAGTAGTTTTTTTCTGATTCCTCGCCCCTTTTCTTTGGGACTGAAATCACATGTAAATTTGTTCACTTGAAGTTGTGACACAATTTCCTTTGAATCATAAGGTGTTCCACTCTAGTTGGTGGGAACACAAAAAGACACTTTTTTATTTTCAAATTTTTCTCATTTCATTTGTATAGACTATATTGCTGTATCTTCATATTCATTAATTGTATCTTCTTTGGTTTCTAATTAACTGGTAAACCTATTCAGTGTACTTTTCATCTGTAGACAATAGATTGAACTCTTTTTTTATGTCTTCCATGTATCTATTTAATAATGCTCAGTCTTTGCTCTACCTTCTTGAATATAGAGAATATGTTATAACTCTTTCAAAGTCCTGGTCTATAAATTCTATCACTTGTATCATTTCTTGTTCTATTTCTAATAATTTCTTTTCTCCTTGTCATGGGTTATAACTCATTGTTTTTTTGCCTTCCTGGTAATTTTTTTAAAAAAATTCTGTGTTGTAAGTTTTATCCTTTTGGTTTCTGGAAGTTTTTGTACTCCTATAAATTGTCCTAAGCTTTCTTCTGGGAAACAGTTTAATTAGTTGGAAATAGTGTGATCTTGAGGCTTTCCTTAAACTTTGCAAAATGGGACCAGGTATATCTTCGGTCTATGATAATTTTGCCCCCTGCTAAGACAGTACCCTTTTGAGTACCTCTGATTTCCTTTGAATCATAAGGTGTTCCACTCTAGTTGGTGGGAACACAAAAATTTTCCCATCCCTGTGTGAGCTGCTGGAGTTGTTCCAAGTTCTTATCATGGGTGGTTCTTTTCCCAGCATTTGGCAATAACCTTATATGCATGTGCTGATCAGTACTTGCCTGAATTCCCTGTAGATCTCTGATTCATTCATTCTCATTCTCTCTCTCTCTCTCTCTCTCCTTCATGGTACTCTGTCCTGTGAACTCTAACCTCTGGAGTCTCTCTGAACCCCCAGCTCTATTTCATCAACAGAGGGAGCCTATAGGCTCTTACTGGGTTTCTGTTGCTTGAATACTCTCTCCAGGCAGTAAACTAGCAGAAATCAAAGGGTTCACCTAATTTGTTTTCTTGCTTTCAGAGATCATTATCCTATTCTAACTGGCGGCTGGCTCATGTCTGAAAACCATATTGCATATATTTTTTCCTGTGTGTGTGTGTTTTTAACTGTGTCAGGATGATAAATCTGGTCACTCATATTTCATTTTGGCCAGATGGAAGTTCTAAAATACAGAGTCACCCAGCATTCAAACTTATTTTGCAAGTAAAAAAGCAGGTCAGTTTTACTTTTGTACCTAGAACCTTTCCATTTCTCCCCCCTCCACTTCCTTCACCCCCCTCCCCTTCCAAATCAAGCTCTGCAGAATCTGGGTACCTTTTAAGCTTAGGTCATAAGTTTTCTTTCACTATTTGTATTCTAACTTTATTTTTTATTTTTCTTGTTTCTCAAACATGTTGCAAATCTGCATATGTGCTTGTTATTTCATCCCCCTGGTGTAAGCTTACTTCTTTCTATACTTGTCTAACCATTTGTATCTTTAGCTTATTACTTCCTTACTGGAGACTTTCCTGCCAAATGATCTGAAACAGGCTTCCCAACACACATTATTTCATCATGTAATCTTTTTAAAAAAAACATTTTTTTATTGAGTTCAGAGAGGAAGGGAGAGGGAGAGATAGAAAGATCAATGGTGCCCTAACCGGTTTGGCTCAGTGGATAGAGCGACCGCTTGCGGACTGAAAGGTCCCAGGTTCAATTCCGGTCAAGGGCATGTACCTTAGTTGTGGGCACATCCCCAGTAGGGGGCGTGCAGGAGGCAGCTGGTCGGTATTTCTCTCTCATTGATGTTTCTAACTCTCTCTCCCTCTCCCTTCCTCTCTGTAAAAAAATCAATAAAATATATATTTTTTTAAAAAGATCAATGGTGAGAGAGAATCATTGATCGGCTGCCTCCTCCCTGCATGTTCCCCACTGGGGATTGAGCCTGCAACCTGGGCATGTGCCCTGACTGGGAATCGAACTGTGCCCTGGTTCATAGTTTGACGCTTAACCACTGAGTTTGCCAGTCGGGCTCATTATGTAATCCTGTAGCACCTATAAAGGTGCTATAATTTTCTTTATTTGTTTACTTCTTTATTTCTTTTATTCATTTTACTTATTAATGATTCATTATCTTATTTATTATCTTATTTCAATAGAATAAAGCTGTATAGTCTCCCTACCATATGGTAGGCATATATTGAATACCTGTTTAATACATAAAAGAAGACATTTAGATAATGAATTTTCCCTATTTTAGTATATAATTTTAAAATAAATATTTTTATTGATTTCAGAGTGGAAGGAAGGAGAGAGAGATAGAAACATTAATGATAAGAGAGAATCACTGATTGGCTGCCTCCTGCACTAGGGATCAAACCCACAACCCAGGTCCACTCTCGTGTGTGTGTGTGTGTGTGTGTGTGTGTGTGTGTGTACGTGTGCGCACGTGTGTGTTTGAGTTATCCCACCTGGAGCCCTCTGCCCCCTGCTTCTGTCTGGACAGATTGCTCTCAGCTTGCACACAGCGGGCATCCACCAGCTTCGTTTCAGCATGAAATTCGCTTCACTCCTCTCCTGTTGAAGCCCTGTCCTCCTTTCCCTTGTTTTACTAACTCATGTTAACGAAGCACATACTCCAATGAATCTTCCAAAAGAGCAATTGGTGACACATTTTTTAAAAGTTTTAAATTAAATTTATTGGGGTGACATTGGTTATGGTGATACATTTTTTAAAATAAATATTTTTATTGATTTCAGAGTGGAAGGAAGGAGAGAGAGATAGAAACATTAATGATAAGAGAGAATCACTGATCAGCTGCCTCCTGCCCACCCCCTACTGGGCATAGAGCCCGCAACCCAGCATGTACCCCATCTGGTATTAAACCATGACCTCTTGATTAATTGGTCGATGCTCAACCTCTGAGCCATGCAGGCCGGGCATTAGTGCATAGTTTTTAATTAATTTTATATTTATAGAAAAATAAATTGTTAAAGAAGTTAGACTGATTTGTCTTAATAAGACTTTAAGGTTTTAGTATCATTTCTGTCATCTCAATGTGTAGCAGTCCATCCCAGCATTCAGTCTCCCAACTCAAATGCTACATTCCTGACTTTGCTTGCAGAAAAATGTCTTTTTTAAATTTAGTATAGGAACACTTGACTTCAGGATATCATTTACCATTTTCTAATTATTTCTTTCTTCTATTTCTTGTGAGAAATAATTGCATTATGTATTTATCTGTGCCCATTTTTCTCAGTGAGTGAATTTCCTGAGTCATAATACTTAAAATAACTTTTTAAAATGATGACATATGTTTGTGCTGTGTTTTCTAACTTATGAAGTGCTTTTTACACCAATAAGACCCATATTGAGAAACAATGTCGGATCATGATTTGTGAACATTCACGGGCAAAACATCTCTTTCTTTCTTTCTTTAATACCAAACTGAATTCTCTCATCTGTCTGTCCCCAACATGTGGTGTACTCTCTGGAACACAGTAGGTATACCTGTTCATTAAATATTTAATAAGCAACGTGAAAAATAAAATTAGAAATCAATCAGTTTTAGCAGTCTATGTTTCTTTTCCACATTTTTTGGTTAACTCCAATCTCTGGAACAAGCTAGGTTCTCCCCTCACGCCCCCAAATTATAGTCAATGGCCACAAAATCCAGAATATCTGGATTTTTAATTATTTTCTATGATAGCTTTGATTCTTATACAAGTTGAACAAAACCTAGAATTATGATTTCTGCATTAGAAGGGAATTTGTTATCTAGTTTAACCTTTTCATCTAATTCATCTTATCTCTTATTTTATTACTTATATGTGCATTTGTATTTACATTGTTTACCCTGGGGACATCAGTTGTTTTTATATTCTTGTTAGGTTGAGAAATATCCATTATAATGCCCTCTTAAATATTTGATTTAATATTTCAACACAGGATAATTTTTCTCTGCACAGTCTAAAAAAATCTTTCTTTGGTTAAATGGAGCACCAGTGACATATAGTGGTCATCTAGGTTATTTGCTAGATATTATTACAGAACACATACATATGTTTGTCACGTTTTGCTTTGTAAATATAACAGTAAATTGAGCCACACACTAATTTTTCACATTGACATACTAAACTAAGTGTAGGTTATTTTTATACTCACTAGGGCATTACAAGAGTGCATTAGACAAATTTCTACCCGAAGAAATATGACTTATTTAACTTTGAAAAAAGAAAAACATAGTATAGGCAAATGTTAGTAGCTACTCAATGTTTTCTAAGAATTTTAAGAGTTTCTACATGAAAATGCCCTATACTTTTCTTGCTAAATATGTTTTTATTTACCCCAAAGTCCAGGAAATAGGAATTTCCTTCCTGGAAGCCCTGCTATAGTGATGGGTGAAGATTGTGGAAGCATGGATGAGAGAAGACACTCAGATTTCAAACAATCAGTACAACATATTTGGGGAGAAAATAAAGAAGAGGTGTCAAATTTCCTTGAGGATGTGAACCAGCCAACCCCCAGTCTTCTACCAGAGAATTTTGACTCTTTTATTAACGAAAATGCGATCAATTTATTAAGCATAGATCAACAGAGGATAACAAAACCATTTGAAAATTGTGGTTATGACAGTATGGGTGTCACCAATTCTGATAAAAATCATTCCTCTGATAGATGCATTTTTAGAAATCCAGGGTTGAATTTTAGTAGTTCTAACTTTAATAAAACAAGTTATTCAGAAAAGTGTCAGCCGAAGAACTATCAGAAAGAATACAATAATGAAGGAAATAATCCTAGTACATCTTTTGAGAAGAATTGTTATCCAGCCAGCGCTAAAAAGAAAGGTTGGTGTTATATGTAGAAAGCGTAATAGTCTATTGGGTTTTTCTGTTTTCAATTGTGTGTGTGTGTGTGTGTGTGTGTGTTTACACACATATATATGTGTGTATTTGTGTGTGTCTGTGTATTTGGAGGAATAAGAAATTAAAAATAGAATGACGTTCTATTATATGACATTGTGGACCAGGCAATGGATCATACTATTAAGCTTCAGATTAAAAAACAAATAGTCTATGCTCAAGTTTTAGTTCAATGCATACTTTTATTTTTAAAGGAAAATTTGAAAAGGACTACCAAAAGAAGAAACCACAGATAGAAATCCAGAAGTATCCAGTGAACAATATGTAAGTTGTTAGGTAAATGTGGGGAATGCAAATCAGAATCTAGTATAATGCATGTTGAAATGTTGAACTGAGGTAGACATATTACTGTCTTAGTCTGGGCAGGCTGCCCTCAAAGAATGCTTACCAGAGCCCTAACCGGTTTGGCTCAGTGGGTAGAGCATCAGCCTGCGGACTGAAAGGTCCCAGGTTCGATTAAGGTCAAGGGCATGTACCTTGGTTGCAGGCACATCCCCAGTAGGAGGTGTGCAGGAGGCAGCTGATCGATGTTTCTCTCTCATAGATGTTTCTAACTCTCTATCCCTCTCCCTTCCTCTCTGTAAAAAAATTAATAAAATATATTTTTAAAAAATGCTTACCAGAGTCAGAATCTTGATTCTGTAACCCTACTTGAGAGTATGGTGCTCGTATTTGCCAGCGCAAAAGTATCTTTTAATCTGAATTTTAGTGTTAATTATATTTGTGAAGATTGACTTATGTGTTCAAGAAACATATATCCTCCAGAATACCAATTTATTAATTTACAGTAAGAAATAGAAGGATTACAAGTATAGGAATGCTTACTGACATGATTAGCATGTTTTCTAACCTTTGGCAGCGCTCCATGGGAAAGATGCTTGGTTATTATAGAACCAATAGAAGTAATGGAATTCAAATGTTAATGGCATAAGGAAGCATAGTAATAGTCTATGACACTGCAGTTACAGGTAATTAAAGAAAACTTGTAGTTTCAGAATAGTCCTAACTATCTTGGTGATAATTGCAATTTAGTTCAATGTTGCTAACTGAAAATCATGAACTAGATATATTTTTATTCTGGAAATATTTTCTTATGGATGGGATTGGCACAAGAAATTAATTAAAACATACATTCACAACTTATTTAATAAAATCAACAAATTAGATTCTTTGTCAAATCTGTAAATATCCAGACATTTATGAATGGAAAACAGCATGTAAGGCTTTGAATTTTAAAACGTACTTTATGAAAATGACTTACAACATGGTTCCTCAACCTGGCTCAGACCCACATCATATGAGGGGCTGATTTTAAAATATAAAACAGTAAGTTTTATATATAATAGATTGATTCCTTAGGATGGAGCTTATGAATCTTTATTTTTTAAAAAAAAGCTTTTCTTATCATCCCAATCCACAGCCAACTTTGGGAGCCATAATTTAGAACAATGATTTTCAGAGGGAATAAGGCAAAGTTTAATACTGTCTTATTTTTTACTCTAGGAGTATTCCTTTGGGGGAATTGAATTCTAAGAAATCATGGGACTTTGGACTTAGTGAGGTAACGTATATTTTACATTATATTTCTAATTCATTGCTATTTTTATGTTATATTTTAGTGTTTGCAGTTTATTTTGACTTAAGGTTAACTTTATCAAAAACTTTCTTTGTAAGGTAACTATTTTTCTTATATTTTCTCTGAGGAAATTATAGCTTAGATCTGGAACTAAAATAATACCTTTTCAGAAACTGTAATGTGCTTTATTTGAGACAAACCAATTTAGGTATACTTAAAATTCTTTTGATAAATCCTATGAAAGTTCTTACAAGATGAAAACTCTTTACATTTCAATGTGCTACAGGGGAACATGGTATACACACACACACACACACACAGGGATACTGAAACATCTATAAACAATGGTTGTATAAGTTGTAACACTTGCTCATAATAAGGATGTATGATTGTTGCAACAGTCCAGGCATTGTGCTAGGAGCTTTTTGTACTTTATTAGTATTCTACAAGAGCCCGATATTGTAAAGTACTCACAGCAAAAGAGACTCAAGTTCAGAGAGATTAAATAACTTGTTCTAGGTCATACACTGACACCAGTATTCAAACTCTTGTCTTATCTGACTCCAAAGTTTTAACTGTTTTCTTTTGTTATATTCAGTTAATATGCATTGAGTACGTTATGAATTCATTTAATAGATATTTATTGTCTCCAATATTCTAGGGATACAGTGGTGAAAAAAACAAAAAGTGTTTGTTCTCATAAAGCTTATATTCTACTAGAGGCCCAGTGCACAAAATTCATGCACAGGGTTGGGAGTGGGCCTTAGCCCAGCCTGCACCCTCTCGCAATCCAGGACCCCTCGGAGGATGTCTGACTGATGGTTTAGGTCCGATCCCACAGGGATTCCTGTGGAATCAGGCCTTAACTGGCAGTTGGACATCCCTCTCACAATCCGGGATCGCTGGCTCCTAACCGCTCACCTGCCTGATCACCACTAACTGCTCACCTGCCTGCCTGATTGCCCCTAACCACTCACCCACCTGCCTGATTGCCCCTAACTGCTCTCCTGCCTGCCTGATTACCCCTAACCACTCCGCCTGCCTCGCTGCTTGCCCCTAACTGCTTGCCTGCCTGCTTGATTGCCCCTAACTACCTCTGCCTTAGCCCCCAACTCCACGGCTTTATCAAGAAGGTTGTCCGGAAGGTCGTTCGGCTGTCTGGTCTGATTAGCATATTATGCTTTTATTATTATAGATTATACACTAGACTCTGCAAGGTTGAGAGATTAAGGGACCTGGAACCAATCTTAAAGAAGTTGTAATCTAGTAGCTAGACAGAAACAGAAAAAAATCTAATGCATTTAGATAAAACGCTCCTTTGGGGTTTATACAAAAGGGGAGTGGGAGCTTAGTAAAAGACACTTCTAAATTTGATCTGGGGAATAATTAATAAGCTTACCAAATGGACCAAATGCCTTCATCCTATGAAGAAGGAGCAACATATATAGAAACTAAGATGTGAGAGAGTATAGCTTGTTTTAGAAACTGAATTATTGTTATTATTACTACTGTAGTACAAATTACAAATGATGGAGAGATGGCAAGAAATAATTTTGGACATTATAAAGGGCCAGGTTATAGAAGACCTTGTATAACATATAGTAGTTTAATTTGCTATCACTGAACAGAAAGAAAGCCCCTGAAAACTTTTTAGCAAAAGAGGATGATGACATCAGACTATTAAAAAGTTGTGTCTGGTAACAATGAGGAGAGATTTGAGGGGTGGCAAGACTCAGGGCAGGGTCAAAAATTATGACGGCTTGAAGTTGACTAGTGGCAGCAATTATGGAAATGAGGGAAGAGCTATCAAAAAGATTTAGAAGATTTAGATTTGATGATTAGTTTAAGGGAGAAGGGAAAATTTAAAGACCTGGAATTTGTATTTGGGTAAATGATTGGGTTGTTGATGGGATGATGCCATTCACTGAGATTGAAAACATAGGAGGAGGTTGCAGAAAAGATAAAGATAAACTGTTCACCAAAATTCATGTACTATATGTTTTAGAATAAAATTATCACTGTGAAGTGAATATATTTCAGCCAAGGAACATATTTCCTAATCTTCTATCCATCTTAGTGCAGCCAGGTGGCTAGATCTCAATAATGGGATGTTATCAGATGTGAGATGCATCATTTTCAAGGACTGTAAGAATTGAGAATTCCTTTTCCAGTGTTATTCTTTTAATGCCAGGTGGCACCGTAGCCTTAAGGGATGATTGGAACCACAAGATGGGACAGACTGGGCCTCTAAATCACCAGTGGAAAAAAAAATGCTGACCAGGAAAACACATTTTAGATTATTACCTGAGAGAGAAATAACAGTATTTGAGCATTATTCATTTGGTGATTAAAAAAAACAAAAACCTAGCATCACTCTGACTATTGTAAATAATGCTGCAATGAACACGGGGGTGAGGTTAACCTTTTTGAATTAGTATCTTCATTTCCTTAAAAAAAAAACCCCCAAAACAAACAGAAGTAGAGTTAATGGATCATATGGCAGTTCTATTTTTAAATTAAAAATATATTTTTATTGATTTCAGAGAGGAAGGGAGAGGGAGAGAAAGATAGAAACATCAGTGATGCAGGTGCAGGTCTTAAAAATTCAGGCACCATATGTGAGGTCCAAACCATTTGTTACCAGGAAGGAGCTTGGAGTTGTGTGTTCCCTCCCAAGTGGGATTGCCCCTCTTGGCGTGGAGTTTATGGTGAAATTGTGTCTCACCATCTCAGCTTCTCCTAACCATTTTGATGGGGGTTTTTGTTTTTTGTTTTTAAATCATTTGCTTGGTGTGTAGTAAGGAGTCTCTTAGGTAGATTTTGGATTTCTTTCAGAGGAAATTGTTTCTTATGTAGCTATAGTTTCGGTGTTTCCTTTGGAGGAGGTGAATTCAGGATCCTCTGTTGTCACCGTCTTGAACTGAAGCATATTTAATTTTAAAGTAGCAGAGGGAAAAGTTTAAATATGATTGTTTAAATGGTACTTTCTTCACTGGATAAATGAAGTCACATAGAAGAACTTCAGAATTCAAAGGAGTGGGGATGCCACACTAGGAAACCTGTTCAAGGTGGTAACACATCTACATAAATGGTAAACAAAATGTAAGGAATAAAACCTGCTTAGCAATTAATATATTAAATTTGAAGGGGTGATTTTTCTTATCAAGATTTAAAGAAGAATAAAATGAGAAGAAGAAATAACCTATATATTTTTTAAAAAATCTACACTAATAAAAGAAAAACATGCAAATTGACCATACCTTCACCACACCTTAAGCCACGCCCACCAGCCAATCAGAGCAATTATATGCAAATTAACCCAACCAAAATGACGGCCAGCAGCCATGGAGCTGGAGCAAGCAGGAGGCTTGGTTGCCCCAATGATGGAGGAAGCCAAGCTTCCCGCCTACCGTGGCTGGCTCTGAGCTCCACTCAAAGCAACAAAGTTTCAATTATAGAAGGTAAATAAACCCCAGATACCTGCTTTCA